AGTGCTCACATGTAAGACAATGTTAGATATTTCACATTTTAAATTTGGATATATTGTTTTGACACAGTGCATTAATCAGCATCTATTTTTCCTCAAAGTTTAAGATGTTTTAATATTTTGTATAACTCACCTACTATTATTTTACATCATAAATATAAAATGGTGGACTGAGAATCAGGGGCCAAAGCAGTAACCTTAAATGTCTTATACAATAATATTAAAGAGATGTTATTTAATAAAATCATTGTTTGAACCTTCAAATTCCAGGTTTAAAAGTAAATATGTTCAATCCTAGAATAGCTTGGGCTACATTAATCAATATTCTCTTATGTACCCAAATTTCTTCAAAATTGTCTTCTAGAAAGAGGGCATCACCTTATAGTTGTATCCTTTCAAAGTCTCATATTACACTGAACCTTTTGAACAATTGCAAACAGTTGTTTAAAGAAGACATTTCAGCTTGAAATAACCTAAATCAATGCAGTTTTGAATGGAAAAAAAGTCTACCTAATAAGTCAGTAAAAAGAGAGGCAAAGAAATTTACTGCAGATTTAGTTCTTATTCCTGGAGGGATGTATGACATCTCATAATTTTTGATGTTGGAAATTGTTATAAACAAGTCTTTTAAAGATTACTTTGCACGTGGTAGTATTATGTTTGCCAAAAATGTATAATCTGAATTTAATCTCAAGGGAACATCGAACCAACCCAATTTACAGACATTCTACAAAATAACTAGTCGGCAGTTTCAAAGAATAAAAAATAAAGACTGAGGAGTCATGACAACTAAATGCTTTTTTTTTGTTTTTAAAGTCGGGATCTCACTCCGTCCACCAGGCTGGAGCGCAGTGGTACATCACAACTCACCACAGCCATGACCTGCTGGGCTCAGTTGATAGTTCTACTTCAGTCTTACAAGTAGCTGGGACTATAGGCACGCCACCACACCTGGCTAATTTTTTGATTTTTTTGTAAAGACAAGGTCTCCATATGTTGCCGAGGATGGTCTCGAAATACTAGGCTCAAACAATCTTCTCACCTTGGCCTCCCCAAATGCTGAAATTACAGGCATGAACCACTATGTTTTGCGGTCCAGAACTGAAACATAGACTAGAAAAGGGACATTAGCATCTTTTTAAAGGGAGTCTCAGTTACTTTGGCCTCTTTAAAAAAAAAACAAAAAAACAACTTAGATTTCCCTGAGTTATCATGAAAACAGTCTATTATGCAAAGTATTATACTTCTTAAAGATTTGGCCAGGATAATAGCACACATGATCTTGAAAGCCAGTATATATGTAATTTATCCAAAAAAAAATTAAGATTAGCAGCAAAATTTATGTTTTAAAATATCTTGAATTTTTTTTTTTCTTTCAAAAATGTAACAAATTTTCTCAAGTTGATATACTTAACTTCATCAACTTTTCTGCTTTCTGGTTATTTCAAGGGTATTTTGAAAAGAACAGTGTCTTAACTCAGTCAAACATATATAAGTTCATTTTTCTAATTGACACTTGAAACGAAAATATCATCCATAATTATAATATACAAAAACCAGAAAAATAATAATATTATCTTGTCTATATTAGGTCTTATAACACCAGTGATACAAGTGCATGTTTTACCTGTTTACTATGAAAGCTGTTGCAGGTGTTTACACTGGTTACAAAGTATATAAAACATACATTTAAAACAAAATTGACATGGAGTTGAGCCATTAAAAATGAACTTCAGCATAATAAAAACTACATAACATCCGCATACTCACAATGGTTAATGTAATCACAATCCTAGTACGACCACTCTTGGCAATGCTTACAAACAAATACTGCCAGAAAACAATATTATTTTTCAAAACATTAACTCCAAGTTCAAAATTCTGACCATTTTGAGTTTTAAAAATCCCTTGGCAAAGGGTTTTAACAATTAGTTGGATAATGAAAACATATAGCTGGTTAACCTAAAACAATTCCACTGTTTCAGCCACACAGATAATTATTAGATGATACCATATACTGAGTCACAGGAGGTACTTCAGAACAGACGTTCCCTCCAGAACTTCAATGGGCATTCCCTTCCACCGCTGGCCCAGGCGATATAGCTGAAGATCTTGAGGCTCCTGCACAAGCTGTCAGGCCCTTCCTCCACAGTCAGGCCAGATTCTGTGGCTACAGAGGTACCTTTTACCCTCCCAGAGAGCTGGGCACCAGCTGCAAAGGAACATCCACTCCCTAAGCCACAGGAAAACAAATCACTTCTGCTTCCTTTTCTGCATTCCTTGGGGAGATTCAAACTGACCAGAGGACTATTTTAACTAACTCAAAATATAGGTCTGCTTGGTGTTTTTGGTCAAAGGAAATCTTTAAAGTAGTCACAAAAGAGAGAAATTCTGAGTATCATTAAATAGTTAATCTTATTCTCAATTAAAATCTTACCTACTCCCTGTGTGTTAGACAAAATTGCTGTATAACATAATAAGGGGACATAATAAGGGGCTGGTCTGCCTGGGAAGGGTGATAATTTAATATGGTCTTCCTGGGGTAGGAGAACCGGGAGAGAGAATAGATGTCTTAAAGCCACTATGTCATAGATAAAAATCTCCATTTCAGGTAAGGTGCAATGGCTCACGCCTGTAATCCTAGAACTTTGGGAGGTAGAAGTGAAAGGACTGCCTGAGTCCGAGGGTTTGAGAACAGCCTGGGTGACTGGGTGAGACCCTACCTGTACAATAAATAAAAAAATTAGCCAGGCTTGGTGGTGCACACCTATAGTCCTAGCTACTTGGAAAGCTGATGCAGAAGTGCCAAGGCACTTCCACCTAGGTGACAGAGGGAGACTCCAGCTGAAAAAAAAAAAAAATCTCCATTTTAGCCATGACTAGCTGTGTGGTTTTGGGCACATTACCTAATTGCACAATGCCTCAGTTTCCCTATCTACAGAAAGACGTTAATATTCTATGCCTTGAAGGATGGATGTGTCTACCCTAGAATATATATATAAAGGCAAGCAGGCACCTGGCATACAATAAGCACTCAATGTGCTTATTTCTATAATGAGCATGTATTCTATTTTTAAAAGACAAATATAACTATATGTAGAAAAAATTTAAAGAGAAAAATTATTTACCTGGCTTTAATGCTACAAGTGAATTGCAATTCATTACCCATTTTCTAGTGAAGAGTCTGTCTTGAAAAGTCAAGAATCTAGAAATGTGGACAATAGTACCCAAAAGCAGACCATGATCACCTTCCAGTCTAGTAGAGATAGGTAGTTAATCCCACTCTTTTCTTTTTGCATATTTGTGACTCTGTCCCAAAGGTGATGGAGGAAACACCCAGCATGGGGAAGACACATTATTTCTCTACGTCCTGCATTGGGGATTGGCGGGAAGAGGGGTTTGCTTCCCTTTTAGTTGCTCTCACCTCAGCCTCTGACTTGAGAGAATTCCAGGCAGCAAAGATGATTACTTTGCTGTTCTGTTAGCAGGTGGAATTAACTGCTTATCTTCTGGGCCAGGGAGATGTTTCCCCACAGAAATCAGTGTGGAAAAACTGCTTCTGGCCCTGCAGCATTTGCCTCACATTTTACATTGGAGTTCTTCATTCACCTTCTCCTCAGAATCTAAACACAAGCTCCTGGCTGAAAAGAGATTCCCTGACAAGTGCTTCCATAAATTAATATACATTTGATTACCAGCAGTAGTAGAAAGATAAGTGTTCAATAGGGCCTTAAGCATGGAGTAAGTGTTCAAAGGGGCCTAAAGCATCCCCAGAAGTGTCATCTTTCCCATTTAAGTCAAATAATATTTAAATTGCAAGCAATTATATGAAAACCACCGTCTTGACTCTGCCAGAGTAAAAATTCAGCCATCATTAAAATCTACTCTGTATTCCCAGGGATAAAAAATAATCATACATCTTTGTTTGTGTCATGGAGGCTAATTTAGGCCTCTGAATCATCTCAGAATTGACCTGGGCTTCTAAACTGTGGCAGGAGGCACCAAGAGTGAGGACGCAACTCCAGGTGCAAAGGTAAAGACAGGTGAAAAAGCTGTGTATGTTTGGGAGATTGACTGTAAAGCTAACAGGCAGATAGGATTTTACCTCAAACCTCATTTTTAGAGTTGTGTGCATAGAGAATTTCAGAAAATCTCTAAACTCAAAAGAACCTGTATATTAGATTTTTGTCCTTGTTTTATTTTTGCCCTTGTTTTCAAATTGTCTAACCCAAACAGTTTCTTTGGGCTTAAGATCAAAGGGTCACTGTTGTGGTGATTTCAGGCTCCAACCTGCTGACAGCATATCTCAAAGCACAACAATGTAAATTTCAAAAGTTACTAAGGAAACTATCCTTTGTACTTACTATTTCCTTCCCCAGAAAATTCTGACAATCATACCTGCACAGTCCATTCCCTCTCCTCACTTTGGGCCTCTGCTCAAACATCACCTGACTAGAGAGAACTCCCTGACACCCCATCTGAAGTAGCACAAACACACTCAAAAACAAGCTCTGTGTCACCTTAAGATGCCTTATGTTTGTTATTCCTTATTTTTCTTTCTTACCACCTCTCATATTATAGATGCATGTGCTTATTGTCTGCCTTCCCCTTCCCCCAGGTAAGCGCCATTTGTTTTCTCACTGCTATATCCTAGTTCTTTACAGAGAACCTGGAACACCTGGTCCCCATTCTGTTCAATAAATATTTGTCAAACAAATAATGAACCATAGATGGTGTAGCCAAATGTCACATATCTCTTTCCAGCAGGGTTACAACTCAAACAAAAATTCTGAGACACACAGAAGGCTAACATCTCCTTAGATGCCCTTCACTATTTCAGCTTATGAAGCAAATCTATCCTTCTAAGTTGCACTGAGAGTTTACACAGAGCAAGTTTCTCTACTAAACTTCCCAGGCTATGGTGTTAGTTACCGCACCATTTGCTCTCTTCCCCAGTTATCAAAAATTTTGATGTTCCCAGGAACCTAGATCGCTTTTCTTACCATACTGATCTGAAGAGCTGGTGAAGAGAAGATAGTCAGAAGTACAGGTCTGGGATTCAATGTCCAAATCTCCCAACCTCAGAATCAGTGTCTTCCCCTTTGGTACTGTAATAGTCTTTTCACAAACAGTGTGATTAGGGTAAGTCCCTGGATAATTCTTAGATGTCATTGTGCCACTGTCCTGATAGGCCACTAGGTGCCCACAGCCATCACCTGGTAAAGAAAAAGGATAAAAAAGTGCAATTAATTCTTACTGAGGATTGGGGTCCAGTACAATCTCCATGTTACGTATTTAATTCTTCTTTTGGAGAGAAAGAAAAGCTAAAATGATTGAATTATTAAACTATCTACTGTTGCAGATTATTTCATCTCTTGTTTTCCAGGTTAATCTTCTGAAAAGTGTTGATCAGAATGTTTCATATATTAGAATGGAAAACCCTTAGGAAATACATTATTTAATCATATTACTTTTTCTAATCATCTATCTATCCACCTATCCAAACATATACAGTAGGTCTTACACAGATTTGTCAAGCTACCCCAAAAGTCAATGTCATATAATTCCCAACAGAATAACAGTATTACTCACTTTCAAGGGTTGTTGTGCTGATTAAATGAGATAGTATAGAAAATGCTCCTGGTAGAAGCTAAGGCTTCTGCCAAGGACTCTGTTTAGATGCAACCACTTAGCTGGGGACTGAGCTTAACACTTGTTTGATATTTATGTCTTAGTTAATGACAGTCACAGATTTGAAGGGAACCTGATAGACTCAGGATGAACCATCAGAAAATGTCAAGGATCTATTGTGTTGAGTCATTTCCACAACCAGACAGGATATTAATGGTTAGAGACACATAAAAGGGCTGGCTACCTTTGAGAATTGGGGAGTTCACCAAGTATCCAACAAGTTGCTCTAGTTGAATAAAGTGACTAGTTACTGGCACAGATTTCTAATGGTACGCACAACTAGGTGGGGCTACAGGAGAATGAGCACTTGCTGCATTCAGACAGCAAAATGTGTGTGGTTAGTATAGCTTCGCATAAACAAAGCAAGAATTCCTGGCCTTAGCAGGAGGGAGACAACGCAGAAATCTGCTGAAAAAGGAAGTCTCTGGGGTTGTAAAAGAAGGCCTCTCCATCCCAAAATCTCCCATGGAGAAGTTTCAACCTGGGTGTACAGGGAATCTGAAGCACACAAAGCAGACCTCTTCACCCCAGCCTCTTCCCTAGCTAGGGTTGGATTCACCTGGAGTCTTTCTCTTATTTCATTTCCTTCTTGCCCTGAGGCTTCCAGCACAAATGGTACTGGAGATTAAAAAACAAATGCAGCCAGGCTTGGTGGCTCAGCCTGTAATCCCCACACTTTGGAAGGCTGAGGCAAGAGGATTGCCTAAACCTGGGGGTTTGATACCAGCTCGGGCAACTTGGCGAGAACTCCTCTATGCAATAAATAAAAAATTAGCCAGGTGTGGTAGTGGACACCTGTAGTTCTAGCTACTTGGAAGGTTGAGGTGGAAGGATTGCCAGAGCCCAGCAGGTCCATGCTGGGGTGGCCGTGAGTGTGCCACTGCACTGCAGCCTGGACAATGGAATTAGACTCCAACTCAAAAAATAAAATAAAATAAGTAAATAATTAAATACTACAAGTGAATTGCAGTTCATTACCTATTTTCTAGTTGAAGAGTCTTCAAAGGTCAAGAATCCAGTTATGTGAAGTATACTACCCCAAAGCAGACCATGATCACCTCACAGCCTAGTATAGTAATCCCACTCTTTTCTTTTTGCATATTTGTGAATATATTCCAAAGATGATAGAGGAAACTCCTTGGCATGGAGAAGACACATTCATTCTCCATGTCCTGCTTTGGGGGTTTGCTTCCCTTTTGGTTGTTTTCACCTCAGACTATGACTTGACAGAATCCCAGGTAACAAAGATGATTCCTCTGTTATTCTGTTAGCAGGTGGAAGTGACTGCTTATTTTTTGTACCAGGTAGATGTTTCCCCACAGAGACCAGTGTGGAAAAGCTATAGAACTCCAGAATCTCTACCTCATCTCAATATCCAAAGCCTAGGGAAAGGATCTGCCCATTATCCAGACACTCCCACGAGATTCCCAGTGGCATCTGCCAGGGGGCTGGAGGGAGAAGTAGAGTTGACTTTAATAGGAGCAATGGAGCCAGGCTCGGTGGCTCAGCCTGTAATCCTGCGCCTTTGGGAGGCTGAGGCGAGTGGATTGCCTGAGCCCGCGGGTTCGAGACCCGCCTGGGCAGCGAGACCTCGTCTCTACAATATATCAAAAAATCAGCCGGGCATGGTAGCGCATGCCTGTAATTCTGGCTACTTGGAAGACTGAGGCGGAAGGATCGCCGGAGCCCAGCAGGTCGAGGCTGCGGTGGCCAGGAGCGGCCACTGCACTCCAGTCTGGGTAACAGAGTGAGACTCCAACTCAAAAAAAAAAAAAAAATAGAGCAATGGGTTAAGGAATGCCAGGGGGAAAAGTTAGATAGACAGCCAAGATAAAACTACTAGGAAAACTTAAAATCTAGGAGAAGTTGTGGAATGTATATGGTAGGCCAAAAGGACCTACAGAATGTTTTTGCGTAAGGAGATAATGAAAGAGATATTAGAAAAAGATGTTTAATCTGGTTGGACAATGCTACAGGAACTAGAATAGGGTAGGCGGGGAGGGACAGATCCAGCTCTGAAGAGCAACAGAAGTACCCTAGGAATGAGAGTAGTTGAATGGGAAGGAAGGGAAAGGAAAACAGGAAGACATTCACAAGACAAAATAAACAGATTCAGGTTGGAGCTAGCTACACTGGGAAAGACAAGAGGAGAAAAAAAACACCAAGGTGTTGAGTCCAGAAAAGATTAGAGGCTAATATAGACAGAAAAGGAAGCCCAAAGAGGGAGTAAGTTTGGGAAGTGAAGTTGAAAGTTTAGTTAAGTTTGAGATGACAATTAAATTCCTTGTGCTTTCTGGCAGCAGTTGTCAGTATGCACAAAATTGTTGAGAATTAAATGAAAATTATACTAGAGAAAAGCCTACTGTGAAGAAGCACAGAGTGCACAGGGCTTTGATTAAAAATCTGAACGTTTGCCTGCTTTTAAAGGCTTTCATTGAAAATCCAGTTTACAGTTGCTCTTGAAAACTGAAATACAACCACATGAGCAGGCATGCTCACAGGGCTGCCCTTCACAGGAGACAACCTAGTTCCCTTAGAATCTCTAGGTCTTTGTTACTCATTTATATTATTCACCCCATCTTTAAAAGCACCCTCATATAGCAACCCTACGCTAATTAGTATAGAAACAAATATGCATATAAACATAACGAAAATCTTTTAAAACCACCAAGAAATCAAACGTGTAAATGCCTCTTTTTTTTTTTGCTACCATGAAATTCTTCTTGAACTGAAAAAGAGAAAGAGAAACTTTTTTCAAAAAACACAGCTAAATATAAAATGAGAAGCAATTATGTGAATCAACCTTCACATGATTATTGTATTCTAAATTTTATTTTTTAAAAAGTGACATGTCATGACAAGGAAAAATTCCAGAATGAGTGTCACTTTTATACAACCCTGTAATTACACTTCTTTCCAACCATTTCTCCTCTAAGACCCAAGAAGAAACTGATTTCACCCAGCCATGCCGGCAGAATGCAGGCAGATTCAAGTCAGACATTCTCATTATCACTTTGCCCAGGGATCCGTGCCTCCTTGTGCAAATTTCTCTTTTTCATTAACTATCAGACAAAATCCCATGAGTCTTTGTTCTGCCAAAGGAACTGCTGAGTCCTAAACTTGTTAAAAAGCAAACTGTCATTAGAAGTTGAAATTTCACTCTTGCCTATGTATTTCCACACATAGGCAGATGGAGATTCCTGTGGCAAGCACGAATGCAATAAGTTTATTCTATGGGTATTCAGTACATCAGAAATTTCCACCCCATTGTCCTTCTACAGTTTTAATGACTTCAAAGGATTAGGCAGAAATACGCCAAAAGGGAAAATGAAAACTGCTAGGAAAATGCCTACAATATCATGTGTGGAATAGGCAGATGCACGTAAATGAAAAACAATAAAGAAACACTACTCTGACACTCAGGTAGCCTGTCTCTCTAAGAATCACTGGCAAGGAAGAAGACACATGTTTTTAAATCTATCAGTTCATTTTCCATATCTTGTGTATCAATGTCAATATACTGGTTGTGATTTGTTTTTTTTTGCAAGATGTTATCATTGGGAAAAACTAGGTAAAGGGTAATAGTTCTTACAATTGCATGTGATCTACAATTACTTCAAAACAAAAGGTTTAATTTTAACAAATTGAAAACTAGACTTGTCTGGGGCTGGCTAGGGATGGAAGTGAGAGGACTTTTACATTCTAGTTTATATTTGTGCTGTTTGATTGTTGTTATCCTGTAGGTTTTCTATTTACAAATGCTTTTTTTTTTTGATCCGGAGGTTCACTCTGTCACCCAGGCTGGAGTACAGTGGCACGCTCATGACCACTGAAGCCTTGACCCGCTGGGTTCAGGCAATCCTTCCTCCTCAGCCTTCCAAGTAGTCGGAACTACAGACATGCACCATCACACCCGGCTAATTTTTTTGTTTGTTTTAGATTTATTGTAGAGATGAGGTCTTGCCAGGTTGCCTAGGCAGGTCTCCAACCCCTGGACTCAGGCAATCCTCTAGCCTCCACCTCCCATAGTGCTGGGATTATACCATACCCAGCTAAAATTGTTTTTAATTAACTAAAGCATTTATACAGATTTGCCCCAAAAAGATCTATATGAAATGCAATTGACTCAGTTTCTTGAGCAATGGATTCTATGAAGAGGCAAACACCAAAAACTGTTTATTTTAGGTTAAAAGGAACTTAAGCTCTATAATAACCAAGTGAGCTTTGTTTAGATCCTGATTTGAAAAAAATATCAACCACATAAAACCTCTAAAAAAGATAACTGGGGGTACTAAATAATATCAGATAATTATTGTTAATATTATTAGGTATGATAATGGTATTGAAATTATGTAAGAAAATGCCATTTGGGAGGATGTCTACTGATATGTGTAGGGCTGAAATGACATGAGGTCTGGGATTTGCCTTAAAATACTTGGCCAAAAGCAGGAAAATGAAAAAATATGGGGAAATGTTGATGGTTGCTGTAACTGGATAATGAGGGCTCACAATTCTAAAAAAACAA